ATAAATTTTAATTAAAATTAAAAATTCATTAATATGTTCAATCATTCAAAAGTATTCTTATTCATGCTTAAATTATAAAACAATTAGTGAAAAATTCACATATTTTGCAATTTCTGGAGCAATACATGTGTGCATATTTACAACTAAATCGTGATATTTTAATTCACTATCCGGACAATGTTTTCATCCAGTTCATAAGATGGATATAGTATTTTTCCACTGACAGTTAGTCAAATGACACTATATTATAGCATCTGGACGCAGAAGTCATCCACTTTCTGTACTGTATAGGTATTTCGCACTTATCTATTCTGACATTTGATTATTACACTAAAAAAATTTCGAACATACAGTACAGCAATCTTGTCTGACTAATTGTAAGTGGAAAAATACTATATCAATTTCATGAACTGGACAAAAAAATATATCCATATAGTATTATACTATTTAACTCCACTTTACGAAATGAAGAGTTATAATGATGTAAGAAAGTATGAAATCAGAACAATATCTAACTGAAGACCTACATACCTACCTATGTACTATGGTTTATTGTCAATGTTCCAGGGGTGGATTATGAATATTAGAAGCCTGGGCTAACACTGCTTTGCGGCTTACTTAATTAATCAAACTAATTACCATTTTGTCAAAAAACTATTTTCTTAATGATAGGAAAACAGTTAAGGCAATTGTTTGTAGTTCTGTTATAAGTATAAATCATAAAGCATTTAGATTATTTTTTTATATTCTAAATTCATAATATTATCCATTGTCTTCAATGAGGACTGCGGGTCCCTATATATCTTTGGGCCCTCTGCTGCAGCCAAAAACGTTCACATATATATCCGGCTTTGCAAAGTTCTAATACAAACGAGATGACCAAATCAGAGAAAATATATTGTATATTTTAACGTTAATACTGAAGAAATTTGTTTAGTACCTATCCGATCTACTTGGATTGATACTCTAAAATACATACTGACGATATACGCTGCGTATCACGAATTCAGTAAGTAGGTATTTAAAATCTGTATAGTATTAGAACGAGATTTTAAATGTAATAAGAGTTATTATAGTTGCAGTTATTTCTTTCTGTTACATAACTTTTAGTCAACCTTATCGCAGATTTTTGCATCTCAAACACGTATGTATAATAAATAAATACAATATTAATATAGAGGGAAAACATGTAATATCTCTGCTAAAAATACTAAAACATTTACAAATGAAACCTAACCTAACCTAATGTAACCGAGCAAAAGCAAATGTGATAATGTAGGTAAGCGCGGTAATGTTTACTTTAAGGGTCGCTCCTCCGATTTTCTAGAAATGTTAGTATCTTTTACAGTTCAGTATGCTGAACAAGAATATCTACCTATGTCCTATATACTGGGTGCAGAAACGCATATGTTTGGACGTTTCAAAAAAAAATATAAGTAAAACAACTAAATCGAAGCCATAGCTAACCAAATCAACCAAAAATATTTTTTTTTATTTTCACGTTGCTGTAAACAAAAGGAAGGACGTGGAAATGGTAACACTTACTTCGTTTGTGTTGCCTTGACATTCTTGGGTTAATTGTAATGACACCATGTGACTAATTGTAAATTACTCCCAAACCCCTCCTAATTTGCTACACAACAGCACGCTACTTCAACCCCCCCCCCATTACAGTTTCTGAATGTCCCATATTTCTTTTTCGTAGGATTACTTAACTGCCTTCAGCTTCCTATTTTATATGTTTCATACTTCTTTAATATTATAATATGCAACATTTAACATAGACGTTTATAAATAATATAAAAAGTGACTCTTTTTTCTACTGTCGTTATATCAATTTCCGGTAAACCAACGATTAAGGGTACATTGCCGCTTACGTCTCACTTTTCGGTTTTGGTCGTGTCGCTGATGTACCGGATTCGGTTCGTTTGCAAGTAAAAATTTGTAATAGATAAGTTTCATAAGCGGCAACATTGCGCGAAGAGAAATGAATGTATTCAAATACGAAACGAAGTGACGCTAGATAGAGACACAGGCAGAACAGGCCAGTTGTGTGAGAGCATAGCAAGTAGCAGCATCGGTTAGGACAGTGCGGCTTGATTGTGCCTTAGCGGGGCTGTGTTTTATTGTTTTTAACATTATTATTATAAATAATCACATTTTCTTTTGTGCCTAAAGGATGTAATCGTGTGTTTTTATAAATGTATTAATAATTTACCCCTTTATTAATTTTCATTCCGGGAGTCGCGAATAACTGTAGAAACAGTCACATTGTTGAGTAGGTAGTGTATAAGCATTTATCAGTTTTTCTTATCGCAATCTCCGTTGTGACTTTTAATAAAAACAATTTTGTATTTACTATCGCCTAGCGTGATCTAAAAAAAAAACATTTTAAGAACCCCAATATTGACAAAATCCTGTTTAATTTGTCAGTGGTTACATGTCATAAACACGATGTTGACGGACATAACCAGTACTCGGGATGGACTTTTTATCCTTCCCAATGAACTCTTGGAGAAGATTGTCAATAAAAACCCAATTGGTGAAGAGTATATTGTCGAGGAAACTCCTTTTGCAAGGTAATTTGACGTATACATATACATAGCTTAAGTAGGCGGATATAGTTGGGTAATAAATATTTGATATGTTCATAGCAGAGGGGTATGTGTGGATAAAAATATATAAACAATACAAACCTATCCAATTGGCAGAAAATAATACACATTTTTGCAAATTATGTTCCTTCGATTAAATAACTTCAAGAATTGTAGGTAATAGTATCATTGTTGTACTTAAAAATGTTATTCACGTCAGTTTCAATAAATTCGTAACCCAACAAACGTTTATAAGGTGCATATTAAAAAATTAATAATAACTACAACTTCAAATTAAGAATGATGAATTTTCTCCAATTTGCAGCTCAAAATGTTGAGAGGTCACTCATCAAACACAAATGTGTAAATATGTGTTAAATCGTCTTTTATACTTGTGATTTTTTCTAAGATAAGTTCTTGCCCGAAATTTAACAAATTAATTGATATAATTAGTGAAGCATTAATAAGTCAAAAACAAACAAAATTAAATAGACAATGGGACACCCTATTAATATACTCACAAAGGTAATGACTCCCATAAGATTGGTTTTGAATAATCAGTAATAAAATGGAGATCTAAATTGAGATAGGTACCTATCTAATTGGGTATTTCCATCTCATAGGTATTGCAGTTATCTAGCAGGTACGTAAATTTTAAATACTGAGATGTTAATTATTAAAAGCTATACTTACGATTAGAAGAAACTTTCTTGTAGCCCATTCTGAATGCGGCCCAGTAGAATTATTACCTACTTATAGAAAGTTATTAATGGTTTTAATTTCACAATGACATCTTGCCATTTTCATCATCAGATTACTACCTATATCAGAATAATTCATGAAAAGTGAAAATAATTTAGGAATGTAGCAAAGTACACCAAAAATCTTTAGGATAAGAGGAATCGGACTTACTAAAATTGATAAAGAGGGGGAAAAGGTTGCTTGCTTTTTCTTTGGGACATCATATACGAGCCATGTTTTGTGCGTATACCATCTTGGAACAAATTGTTTTATGAACCTGATCTTTTTTAAATTTAATCGTGGAACATACGAGGCTGATTTAGTATTTTTTTTTTTAATTTAGGTTTGTCCATACGTATACATATATATATAATGACGTATAAAATTGTGTGATCGCGTTGTCTCCTTGAAAAAAATTTACAATGAAAAAATTTCGAAAAGCAATTAGTAATACTATGATATAATTGGGTAAACAAAAGAAAATAAATTTACAGTGATTTAAAAGGACAAAAGGAAAATGCAATTATTGCTAGTAAAATTGAAGATTTCGGATATTTGAATGTGCGTTAAAAAGGCCGTTTGGAGAAATAGAAATTTTACGTATGTAGAAACAAACATTCACAGAATAAATTAAAAAAATGCTATGATTTAAACGACGTCTACAACGTTCAAATATAATAATAACTAGGTACTCTCAAAGAGCAAATTTGAAAGGAAAAAATAACAGGAGCTACTGCTATTACGAATGCATATGTCATACTGAGTATTAGAGTTAATTTTAAGATATGGATTTTTTTTTATATTATATGTCTAGTACATATTTTCAGTTGGTAATTTCACAAAAGCTTTTGAATTGCTACAAATATAGCAATGTCAATTGTATTATCAAACAAATATGTAATATTCAAGTAGCAGTGTATCGCCATCTAGTAGGTATTTGCTGTTACTGAAGTATTTCATGTTAGACTTGCCGAACTGAATTGACGATGCAGCTGAAATACCTTAGTTACGCAAACCGTATGAATAAAAAGGGCAGTGGTAAATTCGGCCGGTCATTGCAACAGGTAGAAAAATTCATTAAGATAAAACGTTAATTCGGTCGCTCCGTGCAAATATATCGAAAATTGAGCACCTAATGTACTTTGTTAACGATTCCCTATACCTATGTGCACAAGTTTTTTTAAATCATAAAAACTAAAAACCTGCGGTTTGGACAGTTCGTTTTATCACAATTACCGTATTCACAAATTATTAAATTATTAAAAAATTAAATAATTATTATCTTATTAGA